ATGTGAGTAACAAGCCTTCAAGGGGCCCTATCAGACATCACATTGTTCTGGGCTAAGGCCCCCAGCAAGCCAAGTGCCCGCCCTAAGTGAAGGCGGGCCTGAATATTCGTCAAAGGCAAAATTCGACATTTCCATATGTGGGTATTCAGGCTCTTGCAGCACGCCAGTTGGTTGGGTAGACACCTGAGCCTCACATTGCTGCGTCATACAGTTGGCCTTGACAGTTGCGCCTGGGCACACATACACAAAGCAGGGCCGATACATTGGGAAGCAGGCCATCGGCCTTTACAAAAGCAGTAGTGCCAACGCACCTGCCTGGGAGCCCTGCACAGATGCAGCAAACAGCCCAAGTCCGGAGACTCAGGCCGTGCCTAACTGCAAAGGGCCCAGGCCCTCAACTGTAGTCTGGGGCCTGGGCGCAGGGTCTGGGACCCAACCGGAAGCTACTGGAAGCTTCCAGCCAGGCCACACGCAGCATCCAGGAGGCTGCCACTTCCACAAAGGAGTGAGGCAGCCCAGGCCAGGCAATCTGGCCAGTGCTGGCAATGCGGAAGTGCTGCTGCGCTCTCGCTTGATGCTGCGCTGCTGCCAAAGGCGCTGACGGGGGCGCGTAGAGGGGTGCTGCAGGCTAGCGGGGCGCAGGCGGCCATAGCCGGGCTGCTGGGCGCCAGGGGGTACAGCGGGTGATCGGGTGGTCTTCAGCGAAGGAGGCGCTGTGTGGGGTAATCAAGGTCTGATTGAGGTTGACGAGATACGTACCTGGTGCATGAAGAAAGGTCGGCTATGGAGTTGACAGTCATGTACATTGATCTTCGAGATTCGAAGTGAGCCTGTTGCGTGAATCAGCTGTAGGTAGGATAGTTGGGCAGAGTAGGTTGGGCGCTGGGCACCAGACAGAGAGGAGCGACTTTGGATACTGTGTTGGTGTGGCCTACGGACTTGGACATTGGCTCATTATTTCATTGTATTTCTCTATATGGATGGTTTCTCGGTGCATTTCGTACTCTCTGCTTGGATACGACTACTTGGACATCTGTGTGATTTCGCAACTTGGTTTTCTGTATATCGTTCACACTCGTATTCCTTGCACTTGATAACGAAGACATAAAAAGATGTCTAGGGCTTAGGGTTTAACCACCTATTCAGACCAAGGAACGTTAGGGCTCAAAGATTTACCAGAGGTAGCTTCAAACTACCCAAAAGGGACAGGGAAGGTTAACTAAGAGTATGTCCGCTAGCAGAGTTCCTAGCAGAGTCTAAGACCTAGACAATCCAAGGCGAGGTACCAAACCGGTAGTTCCAGCAAAGGGAAGAAAATCCGACAGTCAAAGTACTGAGAGGAACAGGCAGGTTTGGTCCCAAGGAAGTAAGCTACCGGTATCATAGATAGGACAATCAGGCTAGTATTCAAAAGCAGCTCTTAGCTACTGCAGGCTAACGTAGGCAGGGGTGAAGGAGGGTAAATCCTTCCTATTGGAAGTAATCAATGCCGCCCTTTGGACCTCCACACCGTAAGGGGTAGGAGCGTGTGTAAGTACATATTGTATTCCTTTCTGACTTGCCGGGGGAATAGGAACCGGACTGATGCCCCCCAGAATGGAAAAGGAGCCAGAACCCTAAGCTTCTGTTTTATTATTATTAAAAAAAAAGAAAAAGAAAAAAAAAAGAAAAAAAAAAAAGAAGAAGAATGGAGCACCCGGAGCAGCTACTTGGGGAGGCTGCCTGTATCACCCCCACTAGTAGCAGGCTCTCAGTTTCTGTTTTCAAAAAAAAAAAAAAAAAAAAAAAAAAAGCCTGCCAGAAATCAGCTGAGTCGGCCCATTTTTATTCTGTCCATCTTGCAGTGAAGTAGGCAATGCTGTACATCTTCTACTGGGCCTTCCTGGCAGATTCCGCCGAGTTCCTGTAGAGGTGAGCGAGTTCATGTACTTCTTCTTTTGTTTAGTCATTGATTGACTGGTAGAGCTAAGTACGCAAGAAGCCACTGGAAGCTGCGTATTGTTGTGGAAGTTATGGCTAGAGTCCTTGTCCAAGAAGAGATGTAGGTCCTATTTGCTGAGACATTTTGGTGAGTTTCCCATCGTTGGCTAATGATTTGAGCTAAGGGTACGACCTGACTCGTTATGTGCATCCCAGTTTAGTTGTGTATTCCAAGACGTCGGTTTGGTTCTGTTTGTTTAATATTCCTGACCTTAACCACCAGTACATTCAAAAAAGCAGAATGAGCCTCTCCTAAAATTTTGAAGGCCATGGACTGTCAATCAAATGCATAGGTGGTTCATGGCCTCCTATTTTTTAGGAGGGCTCAATCTCCTTTTTCGGATGTACTGGTAGTTTAAACCACCAGTACTTGGCCCAGCTATCGGCCGCGGAAAAAAATAGAGTAGAAACGTTTCTAGTTGGATGAATTTGGGCGCTCCTGTAGTGGCCCGTACGTTTCCTAAAATTGCGTAGCGTTAAAGCTACGCGACTTTAGGAAGTACTGGTGGTTTAACATCCAAGCCCATTCCACCAGATCTATTTCCAGTTCCTGTATGCTGGATCTCTACAGCCCTCACTTCCCACACTGAGGATTCAGGAAGGGTGATCTCTCCTGTGTGCTCTGCACTAAGGATGTTTGTGGTGGCCCCTAGATCTTCTATATTGTTTTTTTGTTTTTTTTTTGTTATTGTTTTTTGTTTTTTTTTGAAGTCCAGGTTGTTGTCGAGGCTGGCTACTAGGCATATGACAGGCCCGTCAGCACCTGACCATTTGATCATCCTGATGTATTGCTGAACCGGTACCCTGTGAGACAGCCTCCCACCAGTACTTCTCATCACGATCCCCGGGGCATCCCTACTCCCAAGGACCTACCTGAGTATACCCAGGATCATCACCCATTCTAGTGACCTTTGACCGGAGAGCTGTTATAGGCATCAGGGCTAAGCAGGTTCTCACCTCCCTCCCCAGCCCTCATTGAAGCACTATCAAACGAGCCGCGTCGTACATGTCGCAGATTAGCAATCTGTTCCTAGGCCCTTCCTCGTTGCGGAAGACAAACGCTGTGGAGGGGGGCATGCCTGCTGTGTCTGCTGTGCTCGTTGCCCAGTGATGGGCTCCATTTGAAGGGGCCCTTTAATAGCACCAGCCACTTGTCAGGAATTGATAGTAAAATGCCATTCAGATTTTCCTGCAGTTTGTGGCATCCCTTCAGAGTTTGTCTTAGTTCTCCTCTGTTCTTCCATGTCCTCTGTGTGTCGTGCCAGAGATGCTTGATCTGCCACACACCCTTTTCCACCCAGAGATGCTTGAGCTGCTTTTCCACACACGCAACCGTGGGAGTATTTCTCTCCATGATTTTAGTAGGTAGCGCCAATAATTGCAGCCCTGTTCTTCTTCCTGCTCCACGAGCTCCCAGTTTCTTCATGGCTCCCTTCATTGCCCACGACTTGTCCTCTCATATTGTCTGGGGTTTTGTATTTGACTGGTTGATTAATCCTACGCAAGCCCAAGCCGCCCAGCGTAATCCATGGGAGATTGTTGTTAGTCAGGATTTTCCGGATCCATTTCGTCTGTAGGGCTTTGACCTGCGTTTCGGGATCCAGGATCCCTAGCCCACCCTTGGATATCCTTAGGACTACATATTTCCATGCCACCATAGTGATGAAATGCTGTTTGGACGGGTCTCCCGTCCATAGGAATGCTACTGCTCTTGTCCTCCTTTGGGATCTTACCTCTGTCGGTGGTTGGACGGGTCTCCCGTCCATAGGAATGGTACTGCCCTTGTCCTCATTTGGGATCTTAGCTCTGTCTTGGGGTCCAACTTGTATGTATTTTATTTTGGTCATGTTTTGAAGGTTGCTACGTCTGGTAATGCTTACAGATCCCGTGCCGAGATACTCAGGGTACGGTCACCAGAACGAAGTTGGATAAAAGTTCATAAAACTAATATTGGAGCTATGACGCAGAATGGAACTACCACGAGCATTTATCCACAACTCGTTATTAAGCGACCATGTTCAGAGACTTGGACATGCTGGGGAATGAAGCCTGGCATTTTTCTGGATGTAATCATAGCGGACAAATTTCGAAGAAAATCTCCTTCTTACTCCCTGATGGTACACAACGATATTTTGGGCTATAGACGAATGTACCAAGGACATGCTGGGGAATGAAGCCTGGCATTTTTCCGGATGTAATCATAGTGGACAATTTTCGAAGAGAAACTCGTTCTTACTCCCTGATGATACACAACGATATTTTGGGCTATAGACGAATGCACCAAGGATATGCTGGGGAATGAAGCCTGGCATTTTTCTGGATACAATCATAGTGGACAGTTTTTGAAGAGAAGCTCGTTCTTACCCCCTTATGGTACACATCGATGTTTTGGGCTGTAGACGCATGTACTAAGGTACAGGAGGATGAGACTCTTATATATCGGGAATAATGAATGATATCCTCCACTAGAAACTAAATCTCATCGCACCCTCCTGAAGAGCCAGAGCGAACTGGTGAAACATGTAGGGGGATTCACGTTGTTTCTGCGTTGCAGGCTGAGATTCTGTTTGAGATTTTCGATCTATGATCTAATGTCCTCTCGATTCTTCCCTGTTCACTGTCAGTGTTTCCGCTGCTGCTGCTGCTGCTGCTGCTCTCTCTCTCTCTCTCTCTCTCTCTCTCTCTCTCTCTCTCTCTCTCTCTCTCTCTCTC